GGCCTTGCACCTCACCGTCTTACCCAATGGCGATCATGTCCACATCGTTTGTCTCGCCCGTGTTGAGGTGCAGAAGGGATGTCACATCATTCGGGGGCATGGCTGTGCCCACATTCCAGGTGACCACTGTGATGCTTGGGAGGACAAAGGAAGAACAGGCTAACACGGGGGCTCAGAGGGATTCCTGTCCCCCTGTTCAGCCCCCAGCTCCACCAAGGAAGCTTTTTGCTGGCAACAGAAGTAGTCAAGACTGAAGCTTAATCAGGGCACATACACCTTAACTCCCGTTTGAGGGAGACAGGTTCTTGCTTCCAAATTCCCCCAGGATCTGCACCTGATAATTCTAAAAACCAGCACAAAGAGCTCTCATTTTCATCACCACCAGCTGACACAGGCATGCTGGCACAGCAGGCAGCCTTCAAGAAAACTGCTTCCCCCTCCCTTCCCCAGGAATCACGGTAGGAGCTCAGGCTCCTGGCAAAAAAGACCCGGATCTGAGTCCTCAGCCCCTGCCAGCCCTAAAGGCCAGGGCAGCGCATGTGACAGCGTTTCTGCAGCCCCGCAGTGGTGTCCTTCAGCAGCGCAAAGCCACATCCCTCACAACACATCAATGCCATTGCGCAACGGGCACCAGCAAAGGGCCCGCGGGCTCATTTGGCAGCAGCCAGGAGTCGTCTCAGTCTCAGGGACATGTTTCAACAGGGAGGGAGGGCAGTGCCCAGGAAAGCCCCAGTGCTCGGGGACAGCGGGGGCAGGTAGCCCGTGGCTCTGTTATGATATCCCGCACGGACAGCGGCACCAGGCATTCTCCTCACAGGAGCCTGCCTGACTGCAGTCCCGCACCCCAAATTCTCCAGCTGAACCCTCCACAGTGGGAGGAGAGGTGCAGCTCCAAAGCACAGCGGAGACCTCGGCACTGCGCCCCCTGTCCCCGCGATCCCCCCGCGGCCCCACTCACCGGAACGCGCCGTCTTCCGAGGCCCGTCCCGGGCAGTCCGGCAGCGGATCGCAGGCGTCGCCAGAGCTGGGGCGGCCGAGGGGTCGGCCGAGGAGGGGCAGCTCGCCCGGCTCCGCTCGGGGGGCCAAGCCCGCCCGCCCGCCGGCGAGGAACTCGCTGGACACGGCCTTGGGCAGCGCGGGGGCGCGGGGCACGGCGGGGCCCGCCCAGGCCGCGATGTGGTCGCTGGACTCCGCCTTAGGCAGCATCTCCCGCCGCTCCGGCGCGGGAAAGGCGGCCCGGCCGAGCACTGTTGGAGACAGAGGGCCACCCGGTCCGGGGGGCAGCAGGGCCGGCAGCGGGAGCCCCTCGGGCGGGGTCCGGCCCGGGGGCCGCTCCTCGGGCCTGGCGCGCCGCGGGCAGCCATTCCCGAAGGGGTCGCAGGCGGCGTCCGGCCGGGAGCTCCTACGGCCGACCGGGACGCCGCCGCTGAGGAAAGGCGCCGCCGAAGCCCCTGCGTCGGGCAGGGGCCGGGTTGCGCTCCCGGGGCCGCGCGGGAGGCCGGGCCGGGGCTCCGCGCCGGCGGCTGAGCCCCGGTCGGCGCTGCCGCGCCGGGCCGGGTCCATCGGCGGGCGGAGACCGAAGCGGCCCCGACCCGGCCCCGCGCACCTTGCGGCCCCGCCACGTGACGTCACCACACCATGACGTCAACGCCCGCCACCTGCGCGGCGCATTAAAGGCGCAGGAGCAGCCCCGCCCCGCGCGCACCTGCCACACCGCCCTGCCCACGTGACGGCCCGGGACGCGCCCCCTCCTCTGCCCCCGCCAGCCTGTCCTTACATCTGCACACCTGTCCCTGCACACCTGTCCTTACATCTGCACTCCTCT